GGTTGGCAGCGATGCCAAGTTGGAAGCGCTGCCAGACGGATGCCAGGTGCGATATATGACTACTAAATTAATGCATTGAGTTTGGCCGAGATGCTGGCAGCTGCGCCATGGCCTCCCGTTGGCATCCTAGTGCGATACCGCCCTTACCATCCTGGCCCGAAACACTGTGTCACCAGAACTGCAGTTGTCTCACCTGTGCCAGGAACAGGGTGAGTAGCGCCAGAATAATGAAGTTGGTACCACCGGCAAAGTCAGTCAGCTTGTCCAACTGGAAGGTGGCAGCTATTACAAAGAATATCAGTTGCATGGTCACAGTCACAATGGCGCAGATAGCCAAGTGGTTTTCGTCTAGAATCTGTACTGCCATCATAGACCTTTGCAACCTGAAACGAGACATTTATCCGCAGTGTCAGTGCCGGAGATTTTTATCGGTAGTGGCCACAAGAATTATTAGTGGTTTAGTGGGAAGAATTGATGTTGGTTACACAAAGAATCATCCATTTTACCTGAAAATACTTTCAAAAATATTTTTTTTGTCAGTAAAAAACACGACGAATATTCTTTTAAATATCGGTCTTCTACAACATGAAGCGTGGATTTTTATATTTCCGGGTGGTAGGAATATTTGTGATACTTGGTGTAAGATCCTGATATTCTATTGAACATCATGTTTCAGTGGTTAAAACTCCTGCTTCATGTTCAAGGAAGCCCTCAAGGTCAACTATCCTGACTGAAAATATTTTTACAAGATAACGCCTTGAAATAGGCTCCTCCTACCCTTACCATTCACGTCATTCACAGTCGTCCTGTTATTCCGTGTCACACAATGTTAAATCAGCACGAATAATTTAACACGAATTAAAATTTAAACTTGTGTTTGAAGCACTGGACATGGTAAGATAATCTTTAAATTTTAATAATAGAATTATGTTACAATTTTAAAATACAGTGAACCCTCAACATCCACAGTTAATTACATGTGACAGATAGGCCTACAGAAATGACAAATTAAAGTATCGAATCCTATGTTAAAATAGCAATTCTTTATGAGAAAATCATATAATTGAGTATTAAACTCATTTTTGGGAGCAAATAAGTACAGAATTCTGACTAGTTTATATATACATATATATATATATATACGCACACACAACGTGAGAGAGAGTGTTAATTTTTACGAAAAAAATAAATATTTAAATAATTTTATTGAAGACTAAGAGTTAGGGTAAGAGTAGAACTTGAGAACATTAAATCATCAGTCTTCTTGAAAATAATAATCTATTAGCTAGCCTTCTTCTGTTCAGTGAGCAGTGAAGATCAGCTTCCACATTTATGATAATTTTCAGTTTATTTTCCAAAATCGTCGCTCTCAAATCTTAAATTGACTGCGCAGACGTGGCCACTGATTTTATCTTAAGAACATGGGGTATATAACGCGTCACTGTACGCTTTAACAACGGAGGTTCTGCCGAGATTAGATGCTCTGTGGGTCATACTTTTGCTGTTAGTTATACAGCGTACATGAAAACATTCGTACGTAACGCATATCGTCACCAGAGGGTTCTTAACGTAAACAAAAGTCCCGCCAATGACGTCATGTGTTTTTGCAACAGATAAAAACATCTGCATGTCTCAAGGCAACGCATTCATAACCTCTACGTCGCTCAACATTAGCACGAAACTTGTACAACTGCCATTACAGAACCTACTTTAATACTACTAATTAAAATGCATACAATTTTACTAACCAAAATTCAGGAACAGAAGTTCGCACTGTGTTTACCACCAGTAGTTCTTTGTACTCGGGAGGTCCTCAGTTTGAATCGTAGCACACAGATCATCATAGACTGTACATAACCTATTAAAATAATAGTTACTGCATTAGGATTTAATTATTTAGGATAAAATATACTAAAATAATGCACTTGTAGTAATGTTAAAATGTTTTAAATAATAATGTTTGTGTGGATTGGTGTCTTTCGTGTAATATTGGCATTAACAGCGATATTAAAAAGTCGAGACGTAAGGAACACACCGGAAGCTACAGTACGGGATTGGGGCTCGCAGGCTATGCTGTGGAAGGACTCGCCTTTGAAATGTCTCAACGCTGTCCGGCCAAGAAAACGCTTATTATGACGAAAGGAAAAATTCTTAGAACTTTTGTCTCAAGTAGGGAGAACTGTATTTTTTTTTTTAAAAAAATCATTCTTTCTTGGATATTCCGCAGAATAAACAACTAATAAAATTATTTTCATGTAGGTACTAGCTCAATGGTAACCTGACATGAACCCATTGTCGCAGCAGGAAAAAGTGCACTAAAATTTCGTATTAGTTCTGAACTCTGCTGTAATTTTTACGCGAAATGAAAAAAAAAAATACAGTTTTTTGGAACCTGTACAACCTAGGCCTTCGTGTATGCGCGCGCGTGCGTGTATGTATCCATGCACAATTATTCTTCTTCCTGTCTGTGGGTTCAAATACGTAAAACACGACAGTCGTTGGAGTTTTGTTTACATGAATGGAAATGGTAGCTTTGAATGGAGTCACGCATTGCGTGATCTGATTTGTGAAGGGCACCCGACATTAACGCAACAGCGGGCCAACTGTCCGACACGCCAAATCACGCAAACGAACAAGCAACATGGGCCACAGTTTTCATTAGGTTTGTTTTCATAACGGCGCTATTTTTGTATACACTTCTGGCGGATGTCTTGCTTTCTGACAAACTGCCAAGATGGCGCTGTTAACAGCT